CCCCCCCCCCCCCAGCCATCTTATCTAAAAGGAATCTCTACTACGGCTGGGGATTTGGCTCAGCGGTTCTGCCGCCTCCTGACTTGCAAGCGCAAGGGTCTGAATTTGATGCCTGGTACCAAGCAAACAAAAAAACGTCTAAAGAGCACCTCTCATGCCACACCCTATCACAGGAATGTGGGGGGACCTGGAGGATAAAGTCCAGAGTCCTTTTTCTGGACTCTTTTAGCCCTCTGGGTGGTGCCCTCACACAATAGGTGTCCCCAAGGCCTCCGATGGCCTCTGCCTTCCCAGCACTGTGCCTGTCTCTGCTTTGCCCCTCCTGGCTGTGCACAGCTGGTCTCTGAACTCCCTGTCAAAGGCCCTGTTCTCAAGGAGACCTTTCTAGCACTCCCTGTGGTCAATCTGTGCCCTGGTAGCCAGTTTCCTCGTCTCTGTGCACTTGGTGGCTTTTGTCAAATAATCTGCTCTCTCCAAGTCTCTCTCTGAGGGTGAGGGTGTATTCTAGCCATGGAGGCTTTGAGGCCCCTGTGCATATCATACTTTCTGAAAAAGCGCACTCCTGCCTACTATTAATACTAAAGAGCTGAGTGGACTGACACCCTGGGCCCGGCACAGTGTGCTGAGAAATGCACATGCCTCATCTTACTTAAGGCTGTTAAGTCACGAGAATTTTCCACTCGCCTCACTCTAACTGCAGAATGGGGAAGTCTCCTTCGGGAAACCCAGGTCTGGTGGGAACGGAGGCCAGTCGGACGCTGATTTGCTGCTTCTGGGTTCTGAAATTCAGGTTGGGCAACTTGACGCTTCTGCCTCCCATGGTCAGCTTGCCTGGCTTTTGCCATGGAGAGGGAGAGGAAGAAGCATCAGCAGATGCAGCAGCGTGGGACCCAGGAGCCCAAGGTCCTGGCCCCAGCTCTGGCCCTTACGGACAGCAAGGCCACAGTCCTGCTCTGTGGGCCTCGGTCACCGCTCCTGTCACACAGAGTGCTGGCCGGGATCCAGGTGTGATGTCTTTGGCTCCTTGTCCTGCCACCTGGATTTGTTTCCTCATCAGTCACAGGCTGTGAAGGAAGTACCGGGCCGGCCACACACGAGAGGAGCAGCCGACTGGCAGTGACTGATCTCAGCCAAGCCAGGCACAGTGGCCAGCAGGAGCCAGCACAGCCAGTGGTTTCCACACCACTCTGATCTTCAGGAAGCGTGAGAGTGGAGATTCCCAAAGGGCCACTCTGCTCAGGTCAAAGGGTGGCCACCTCTCCACCAGCCACTTCCTCCCGAGATTTCCCTGCAGCCCCAAAGCACCAGCTCGGCTCATCCCAGCCTGCAGGGTCCAAAATGTGCTTCCTGAAGGGAACTCGCACCACCTGGGGTGGGGGGGGCAGCGAGAGCTGGGGAAGGTGACCCTGGCCTTGTGCTCTCCAGGGACGGGGGGACTACAATGATGGGACAAAGTGCAGGCTCTTAGAAAAGCCCTGGGCTCACAACCACAAGGGTCCCAGTCCTGCCTGCTGCAGAGCTGCTGTGACCCTGGGCCAAAAGCTGGGTCCGGTGAAGTGACAGCTGTCTCATCTGTCACGGAGGGAGGTGAGAATTTCTGAGGCTCCTTGCACACCAGAACGTCACAGCCGCGCTCCTTGGCTCCCCCCTGAGATGGCAGTGGTTCTGCTTTCTCTTTCCTTTCTGGTTAATTTAGCTCCACCACTTCTCACTGAATTAGGCCACAGACCTGCCTTGAGCGAAGTTCAAGTTCGGGAGAGAGTCAGCAGGTGGAACCCCAGTGGGAGCCCCCAGGGACTGGGCTGAGGCTCCCGTCCTCAGGGCCTTGGATTCTGAAAAACACCTCCTCCCTCTTCTGCTGCAGTTCTGTGAAAACCAAGTTTGGTCTGGAGGGACCCGGGCAATGCGCGTGCCCTTCACGGGGGAAGGGCACCTTAAGTGCTTCTGTTCCCAGGCCTCCTCTTCCAGGCTTCCCTTGGCTTCCTGGGCCTCCTTTCTTCTCCCCCCTTGGATTCTGCTGTTTTCCATTCCACTCCCCACCCGTTTTCCCTCCTGAGACATTACTCCTTCTGGCCTTGTGGCACATATGTCCCTGTGATCTGCAGCTGACCACCTCCTTGCAATCAAAGCTCAGTGAATGTCGCAGCATTCACTCAGCTCCGACAGCTGAGCCTGGCGCAGGGCAGGGAGTAAGAACAGCTGACCCCAAGCCACATGGGCGCAGCTGGACATTCCCGTGCTCATCTGACCCAACTCCCACGAAGCGACAGGCGCGATCCAATTAAGATCCCACTTTAGAGACAAGGTGGAGGCGGCTCAAGAAGTTACACAACTCACAGTCAGCCACGTGCTCCAAGACCCTTGACCATCTTGTTAACTTATTCAGTAGCAGCTAAATTAAAATGGACAAACAGGCAAACAAGCTCTCTGCTGACCTTTAAGGGATTTGGGCTCACTGCCTAGTGGAGGCAAGAAAGGACGTAGAGAAGACATAACATTTTAGTTCACACTAAGTCAAAGATGAAAAGAGTACTTCAGAGCTGCTGGGTCCAAACCTCACCGTACAAACGGGGAAACTGAGGCCCAGGGACAGCAATGAATGGCTGGCCCAAGGTCATGAGAGGGAGGGATGAGACCAGACCCAGCAGGCATCTCCCCGGGCCCCGCTGGCCGCACGGTCATTGCCTCGACTGCACTGAACTGTGCTAACCTGGCTGGCAGCCGGGCCAGTGGCCAGAGTCCCCTGGCCAGCGGGTGGCTCCTGCCACAGGCACTGGATGATCTCAGTTCCAGGCACAGACCCAGTGCGGGGCTGGGGAGGGAACGCTGGACACCACCTGTTGCCTACTGGCTGTTGCTGACCTTCAGCTGATGGGCGCACCAGAGTCCTTGCAGGGGTCAGAGGAGGAAGAGCGCAGCTGGCTGTGGTGGTGAGGAGCCCACAGAGGTTCAGGCCGCAGGAGGAGCAGAGGGACTGCGACCCCAGGAGGAGGCTCTCCTCAGGAAGGCCGGAAGTGCTGGGCGGGACTACAGTGGGGCAGACTCGGAAGCCTCAGCGGCAGGAGGAAGAGCAGGCTGCAGCCTCGGCAGGAGGAGGGGTCCCCACTGGAAGTGTCTGTGCCTCTGTCTGTTCTTTGGTGAAGAGAATGAATGGACTCAGGGAGTGGGTCAGAGACTCACTCTAGCAGTCAGTGCTAAAAGAGAAGCCAAGATTCTTTTTTTTTTGTCCAATTCTGATTTTGTAGTTAAGAAGACAGACTCAGAACAGTGCAAGGTGCCATGCAGGCTCCCTCGCTCCTCCCTCCCGGCCCACATGAGCGCACAAAGTGGCACCTGCGGCCACATCCGCCACTCAGGTGCACACACCAGGCGGTTCAAAGGCAGACTCAGTGTGTTTGGGGTCTGACAAAGCTGGAAGCAGGGCTGGGCGGTGGCCGGGATGCAAGCTGGGGAGGTCTGAGGGGTAGCAGATGGTGGGACAGGAGCGAGGGCTGCAGCTCTTCAGCCACTCGGCGTGGGAGGAGCTGCCGTGGGCGCCCTGGGCCATGGTCAAGCCCACCACACTCTCTCCTGCTTCTGGAGCGGGGAGGGCAGCTCGGTCACAGAGGCCACCCCTGCTGCTGTGTCTTGCCTTGGCCCTAGTCCTCGCCACCGCAGAGGGCCAGCAAGGCCTTCATGAAGTCTCCGGAGGTGTCGCCCTGGCAGACAGAGGGAGAACAGCACAAGTTAGGTGGACGATCCAGTCTCGGCGCCCTCCATCCACCCCACAGCTCCCAAGGCAGTGTCACTAACCCCGAGGGCCCCCTCTCCGGCCGTGGAAACGTGAGCACGACCACGACCCTTTTGCAAGATGTTCCAGGTCTCAGCCTGGCTCCGGGACCCCTGCATGTGACAGGAGGCGCCAGAGCCAGGCTGTGGCGGGAGTGTGCGACAGCACTGTGCTACCCTGCACAACAGGCAGAGGCTGGATGGTGTCCTGTCCCTGTGCTGCAGACCCCTCACGGAGCAGCAGCCCATGTGTGACAGATGGGTCTGAGTGCTGTTTTCCTTTGGGTATTTTGTGATGTATGATTTTTCTCAAAATAATATATTCTCATTATACATAATTTCGATCAAAGGAATGATCATTCAGTAAAAGTCTCTCATCTTCACACCTTGTTCCCCAGATCAAGAAGCAGCCACGGTAGCTTGGTGCCAGGGCGCCCAGCTACAGTTCCAACACTTAAGAGTCTGAGGCAGGAGGGCTGCAAGTTCAAGTCCCGCCTAGGCAACTTAGTAAGATTCTGCCTCAGAAATTAAAATAATGTTTTTAAAAAAGGTAGCCATTATTACTACTTTGTCTTTTCTTTTTTCTTTTTGTTTTTTTTGAGACAAGGTCTTGCCATGTAGTTTAGGCTGACCCTGAACTCTTGATCCTCCTGCCTTAGCCTCTTGTGTTGGGATTACAAGTGTGTACCACCACGCTTGGCTTTTACGACTTTCTTGTATAGTTTCCCAGCGATAGTCAGTACATATGCAAATACATGTACGTGTATAACATCCGTTTTCCACACAAATGGATGCATGCTATCCAGGGCTGTATTTCTGCCCTTAGAGAATATTCCAGATCATTGTGTAGAGACTGTGCATGCGTTTTTGAAGCTTCATGGTGTTCTATTTATGACTGCAGAGGTTGAATAACCCTTATCCAAAATGCTTGTGGGCCAGAAGTGTGTAGGGTTTTGAACTGTCTGAATATTTACATATACCCAATGAGTATATAATTTATATAAAATGTTGCATAAGACCTCGAGTAATTACATGCATGACATGGGAGTTCTGTCATGTGAAATTTCCCCTAATGCTGTCATGTTGCTATCTAGAGAGGGTCAGAATCTGGAGCTCTCCAGGCTTTGGATGTCAGATCAGGGTTACTGGCACCATGATTTCTGTAACCAGGTCTGTACAAAAGGCTCCAGTCTTTTGCTGCTGTAAACAATGCTGGCAATATAATTCCCTTACATGTCTGGGGGAACAGGTGGCCATGTCCACAGGATAAATTCCTGTAAGTATGTCGATTACCAAGTCAAAAGCAGGAATAGTTAAAGATCTGAAACTGCCGAATTATTCTCTAAAAAGCGCCATCAATTAAAATTTCCCTTAAGTCTTCAAAGCTATGCAGCCAGCCGGGCATGGTGGTGCAGGCCTGTAATCCCAGCACTCGGGAGGCTGAGGCAGGAGGATCACTGTGAGTTCGAGACCAACCTGGTCTACACAGTGAGTTCCAGGGCAGTCTGAACTACATAGTGAGACCCTGTCTCAAAGAAACAAAAAAAAACCAAAGCCAAACAAAACAAAAAAAATGCTAAGCAACCAATTTAAGTATCCACTAAATCTTCTATACACCTGTGGGTTCCCACATCCTCTCAACCAGAAGCAGGCTCCATAAATCAGAGAAGCTGGGCATAGAAGGTGCCATGCTGCATGTTGATAAAAATATCAACACAAGTTAAACTGTCAGGAACAGCAAGCAGCCTAATGCTGCCTACGGTGCAGACGGGCAAACAGCTAGGAGACAGCGGAGTGGCTGTTGCACAGGCCTTGGGACTGCGTGGTGTAACAGGTGCACGACTCAGTAGACTCACTAAAAATTACAGAACTGCTCTATGTAATTTATATTTTAATAGAGGTGATTTTAAAAAGTACAAAAATGGGCTCTTGTTTTATTTGGAAATCTTTAGCTATAACCTTTGGATCCTCCTGGAAACTGTTTTGGTGTGAACGCTACTTGTATACACGCTGGCTTCCCACAGGGCCACCCGGGGACCCCTCCTCACCTCGATGGCCTGGTGGAGAGACTTGTCGTATTTCTCAATGAACTCCTGCCGGATGTTGAGCAGGTCTATCTCGCTCCGGGAAACCATGATCCTGGTGAGGGTCTTCTCATCAGTGCCTGCCCCCTGGTGGAGGAGCCGGGCACACGGGAAACACAGGGCAGAAGCAGAGACAGAGCTGAGTCAGGCAAGAAATAGTGGGTGCCTGCCCCTCTCCCTTTTGTCTGCCAAAACCAGGGCGGAATATTCTGTGCCTGTCTTCCACGAAGAGTCCTGACCCAAGGCTCTCCCGCCAGGACCGGCCAGACGGAGAGGCAGAAAGTGCCACTGGGCTGAGCAGTGTCCCCTCCAAAACTGACCCAGCTGGAGGCTCGGGACCTGGCCTAATGTCAAACAGGGTCTTGGAACATATAATTGGTATCCCTAGTATTTTTATTCTATTCTTATTATTTTGCAGTACTGGGGATGGAACCCAGGGCCTTGTGCCTGCTAGGCAAGTGCTCTACCACCGAGCTCAGTCCCCAGCTCTGGCATCTTTGTAAGAAGATGGCGGCCGGGGATTTAGCTCAGTGGTTCTGCTGCCTCGCAAGTGCAAGGTTCAGAGTTCAATCCCCGGTACCAAAAAAATGGGGGGCACATAGGTGGGCACACCAAAAAAGGCCATTTCAAGATAAAAGCAGAGATTGCAGTGATTTGTTCATTAGCCAAGAGACACGAAGGATTCCCAGCCACCACTGGAAGAAGCCAAGAGTGAGGTACAGGACAGGGCCTCCCTCAGAGCATCAGCCAGGACCAAGCCTACAGACGCCTTGGTTTTGGATCTCTAGCCTCTAGGACTGCCTAAGTTTTTGTTGTTGCCAGATTTATTCTAATTTGTTGCAGAAATCCTAGGAAATGAATATGGGGCCCGTGGGCAGGACAGGGACAGTGGGACCGGTTCTGCCACCCTCACTGCACCTCGGGAACCTGGTACACATGGGTGAGTTCAGCCTGCTCAACTTCAGTTTCCTGCTCTGTAAAAGAGGGTGCTTCCGTGAGCATACAGGATGGCCACGGGGTCCACTGCTGCCAGGGTGGTGGCACACTTGGCACAGGGCCTGGCAGGCAGCGCTCCATGAACGGCTGTCATGCTGGGGGAGTGTGGCACGACGGGGTGCTGTCCTTCCTTCCTGACCTCCTGCTCTGGCCAGGGGAGGCGCTGAGACCCCGCTGGACGGCTGGAAGGGTGGCTCGGGATTTCCAAGCAGAATAGGGCCGAGCGCCGGGGATGATGGAGGGTCCTTTGTCAGGGGAGCCTGTGTCAGCTGCTAGCACGTGAGCCCAGAGGGCGCAGCGTGTGTCCCCAGGGCAAGTCTCTCCACCTCGGCATTGGGGCAGACAATTCCTCGCTGTGGGGAGCTGCCCTCTGCATTGTCAGGTGTTTACTAGCAGCTCTGTCCCTGACACAACACTCTCCTGAGCGGTGACAACCAAAAATACATCTGGACATTGCCACATGACCTATGGGAGCGGAACCCCCCGAGTGAGAACTCCTGTCCTAGAGCCAGATAAGGGCGCACACGATAAAGAACTGGCAGGAAGCAGCGGCTCCAGAAGTCCTGAGCCAGGGGCGGAGGGTCGGCACTGGAGGGAGCGGATCATGCAGCAGAGCATCTTACCTTCATGGATTTGTAGAGTTTGTCGGCAAAGAACAGAGGTTTGTTCTTGACACTCTGAACTGGTGGGGAGAGAGAGGAGGGGCCTGGTCAGACCCGTGCGCCCAGACCAGTGGGAGCGAGTGTAGGGCACGCGGGTTCCTGTGTTTTTAAGACCAAGATGTGAATGTAGAGCTGTTTTTCCCAAACTAAAGCCTCGGTGTTCTGGTGTAACTGCAGCGTTACTGCTTTGTGAGAAATAAGCTGTTTGGGGTGCAGTTTGGCGCTCGGTCTCCCAAAGATTCTCCACCCTGTCCTTGACTCTGGGCTGGCTTCCCCTCTGGCCTCTTCACCCCCAATGGCTCTACTGATCACTGCCACCCCAGGGCCATGCCCAGAGATGACACCTTTGCTTCCCCTTCCAAAGCTACCTCCTTTGGCTGCTGCCCAGCCCTCGCCCTTCCTGGGGTACAGCTGTCCAAGGGGAGTCAAGGAGTCAGAGGAGTGGACCCTCCGAACCTCAGGCACAGGGCCTCAGACTTTCAAGTGCACTGAACCACGTGAGAAGCCCAGGCCGGCCGTGAACCTATGACCCTCCTGCCTCAGCCTTCTCAAGGCTGGATCTGTACTACTGGGCCCGGCTTCTAGAAACATTTTGAGAACTCATCACTTGAAGACTTGGTAGAAATGCAAGTTCTCACGCTTCGCCCCAGACAGGAGGCTGGCTGTGAAACTGGAGGTGGATGACCAACTCATCCCAGCTCACCGGGACACCCTGCAGCTGCTCACCCGACTAGGGTGCAGCCTGGTGTCCGAGAACGGCAGAGGAAGACCACCCCGAAGGGATGTGTGACCACCAGTGTACCTGAAGCCACTGTGCCAGGCCTTGGGTGCGGATGTTGGCAGCTACCTGATTTCAGGGACCAGGGCCCTCTGTGAGATCAGCTGACAAGAAAGAGCACCCCGCAGAGATAACTGGGGGCAGGGGCCTCATGTAAGTGCTTCTGTGTACTCATAGAAATCCTATTCAAGGCACCTCTGTGCAGGTGCTCTTGCTATTGCCCACTTACACAAAGAAAATGGAACTCGGTTTTGGATTTGCCCAAGGACAGATAGATAGCAAGCGGCAGAGCAGCAGTCCCTGGGCTGTCTGGCCTCCTGGGTGGTAAAGAACAGCCTGCTACGTAATAGCAACACTTCCACTGATAAAAGCACCCTTGCTCCACATTTGGCACCTCTGAAATCAAAATACATTTGTCATTGATGACAGGTGAAAACTCTCCACTGACATTGCCAGGTAAGATAAAAAAAGCACATGCACTGAACAGTAAATTAAATAGGATTCCAATAATAATTTATGCCAATAAATACAAGTTTGACCCTTGTTCTATCTGCTTATCTCTTACAGAGAAATTGAGATTGAAAAGCGACTTTTCCAAAGTCAAGAGCTCAAGGTATACGGGCAGAGCGCCAAAGAGAGTCAGATGCTGGGAAGAGGAAAGGGAAGGGTGTGTGTGTACACGCACCATCTGTCTTTGTGTAGTGTGTGGGTGCACCTAGTGTGTGTATAAACGCAGGGTGTCACGTGCATGTCTTACGGGCACATGTACACATGCCACGTGCACGGTGCTGCATGCTTTGGGTTAAGTGTGCAGTGCCCCCCCCGTGTCTGTGGTGTCCACAGGCGGGGCTTTCAGAAGGCCAGTGATCCTGAGGGCTGTAACCTCACAGGACCGGGCCATTGGACATCAGATTTCATGGCACCTTGGAGGCAGCAGATACAGGAGGTGGGTGGAGTCCTGGGAGGACACCTGAATGAGATCCGGAATCTGTTCCCTGGCCCCTCCTCTCTGATTCCCCCCTCCGCCCTCTGGGTGCCCTGTGCTGAGCAGCGCCCCCCATGCCCTCTGTGATATTCCTGCCTGGCCACAGGCTTAACGCAATGGAGCCGGCTGACCAGTGACCAGCACCCCTGAAACCATGAGTCAAAATAAACCTTTCTCAGTCCTCCAAGCTGTTTTTTTCAGGAACTCGGTCACAGTGATGAAAAGCTGTCTCCCCTGTGTGCATCCACTGTGTCCTGTGTATTCTAGGCATCCAGGACACGGAGCCCCTCCCCTGCCTTCCTGTCAGGTCCCTGGTTCTTTCCCTGGAGAATCCCCACTCCCCGCTCCACCGTGCAGCCCAGAACAAAGTCCTCATGGTACCGGCTGTCACATGCCCGGCCGGGCCTCTGGAGGTGACCGAGGCAGGAGGCTGCTGTGGTCCCTCTCTTCCAGGGACCCCAGCCACATTCCCAGTGCTCCCAGCCCATTACCAATGGCCACAAAGGTGTCCCTGACGTCCCCGGACATCTCCTTCTTGATGACATGCTCCACGTCATAGTTGGTCTTCCTGATGAATTCCTGGAAGACTGGCCGCAAGAGAGGCACGGAAGGTAAGTGGGCATTGGCTCAGAGGGGCCGCTCGTCCACCCTGGCCTGTGGCTGCACCCACTGGCCGAGCCCCAGTGGGAAGGGCAGCAGACAGCGCCACAGCCAGGCTCAGGGTGCCGCACAGGTCACTGTGAGAGGAAGCCTCTGGCTCAGAGCCAAGCGTGTGCCAGGCAGCGCCTCCAGCTTGGACCTCGGGCAAGTCTAAGGACCCAGGCTGGCATAGGGAAGGAACAGGGGCCTGGGCACGGCTCTGCCAGGCCCACCGAGGGACCGAGGCCTGCGCCTCCTTGTCCTGCAGTGTCCAGTTGGGGCAGTGATTATTCTAAGCAAAAACCACAGCGATGACACTTAGAGAGCACTGCTTCCCCGTGCTGCATGTGTGCTGTTTTGTGTCCACACAACAATCAACTGAGTCAGAACTAAGATAATTCCTAGATAAGGGGATTCAGACACAGCTTTCAGGTGCTGGCCCGGTCAGTCAGTCACATGCTGACAGCAGGGGTTCAGATCGGTGTCCAATCCGCTCTTCCTTTTCTTAGTTCTGGGACTGAACCCAGGGCCTTGTGCGTGGTGGGCAGGTGCTCACCACTGAGCTATCCCCCAGCTTTTAAATAACTTTTATTTTGAGAAAGGGCCCTGCAGCATTGCCCAGGCTGCTCTTGGACTTGGAACCCTTGTGGCTCAGCCTGCCGAGAGCTGGGATTACAGCCGTGCACTGCCAGGCCCAGTTCCAAGTCCACTCTAAAGCCACTAAATTGAAGCTCTGTAAAATTTGAAAAGTGCCGAATAAACACATGTTAAATTGTAGATGCCTTGGTGGAAAGGGCATTCATGGTCATCTAACCAAGGCCCCTGCGCGCCGGCATGGTTCAGACTTCCGTCTGGTCTTGTGCCTTCCCTTTCCCTGCCCTTTGTCTCATTCCTGGCAGACACCACCCATGAGCCCTGACACAGAGCCTCGGGGTCCTTCTCAACACAGCGCTGACCCCCCCAGTTGGCCTGGTGCTCAGACCCCCTGCATCCTTCAGCCGGATCCCCGCCTGCCCGCCTGAGGCGCTCCGAGGGCGCGTGTGCCAGTGTGCCCAACGCCCGTGAGCCACAAAGTCCTCTTCAGACTGGGCTCCTCCTGCTGGCCCCAAGGGCTCGGAGCGAGGTCTCACCTCTCCGGAGGTGTGGAAAGCTCCGGGTGCACAGGATCGTCATGAACCGAGTCTCCAGGGAGGTTTTGTCTCCACTGGGCGTGTCTGCAATCTCCTGTGGAGCCGTGGGCAGGAGGGGAGACATAAGAAAGTTTGGTTATGGGCCACTTCCGCATCTTTGCCAAGGCCAAGGGGAGGCAGCAGGGGGCGAAGCCAGGCTGGCAGAGCTTGGGGCAGAGATCTGTCCCTTGCTTCGCGTAGCCTCGGGGGCAGTGGCCTGCACATCCTCCTCCCCGTGGCTCCCAGGGCCCCGTGGACACACGCAGATGGGCTGGGTGCTGCGGCCTGTGGGAGGGGCACTGGGCAGAGATGTGGGGCTCTCCTCCTTCCCTTCTTCCCTTCTCTCCCTCCCTCCCTCTTCCACCTGAGAGCCCAAGTGGCCCGGCACTGCTTCCTGCAGCGGGGTCAAGGGCACACATCTGAACGCCACACCTGTCAACTAGCCAGCTGCAACTCTGGGTCCACTTAAACTCCCTTGAAAATAACTTTTTGTAGGCTAAAATGTGAGTCCGTTTAAAGTGAACAACAGCAGGGACCTAGGGGCCCGAAGGGGAGAGAGAGAAGCTGCGGAGGAGCCCGAGCCACCCCACCCTGCCGCACTCGGTCAGCCCCAGGGCAAGGGCAGCGTTTCTCTTTCTCATTTGCCCTGCTGGGGATGCACCCAGGGGCCGCACACCCTAGGGCAGCACCCGGCCAGAGTTACAGCGCAGCCCCTGCCACACTTCCGGGAGTGGGGGACGACTGCTAGCACCGAATGAAGACCAGGACACTCACCAGGATCTCAGCAGCCACCTGAGAGTCGGGAGGAGAGACAGGAGGGAGAGATGAAGGTGACAGTCAGAGGAGGCTGCAGAAGACGGCTTTGGAGGTGCTAGGGACAGTGGGACCACCACGGGGTGCGATCCAGTGTGGCCAGCACTCAAAACGGGCGCTTGGCCTGAGGGATTCTGCTTATTTTATTATTTTTTGGATACTGGGGATTGAACTCTGGTCCTTGCGCTTTCAAGGCAGGCGGTGGCACCACGGAGTGAAATCCCCAGCTCAATTTTGACTTTAACACCTTCACTTGCCAGGGGCAGTTGGCACATCTCAACTCTTTTTACAGCCTCTTCCCCTCCTCTCCTTCCCCCCAGGCCTGGGAGACCTGAGGCTGCAGGCCTCGGTCTGTCGGAAAGCTGGGAGCTCTAATCCTCATCCCTTCTCTGCAGACCCTGGATGAAGGTCCAAAGTGCTCATCAGCACCATCAGGCTGCAAGGGCTGGGGACGCTGACTGCAGCCAACAGGGAGCAGGGAGCCGGGGCCTGAGGTCACTCACCTGCCCCGGGGCCCAGAGCCAGGCACTGGAGGTGGACAAGCATTCTACAAGCGTCCATTCCAATCCCTGCTTTCCGCAGAGCAGAACCTCTCCTGACAGTCACTATTTCGCTAGGAATGCAGCTATGACTCGCCGTGCCTGGGAAGCCAACAGAGCCGGCCCGTGTGCCAGGATGGGGGACGCCCTGCCTTCTGCTCTGGCTCTGCTGGCCACCCTATTCCTTGGATGGCCTGCAGCACTGGTCTTTATGACCTCAACCACAGCGTGACGATCTGGAAACCCTTTTTGTTGCATAAACTGGCAGAGCCCATCAGAAGCTACGATGCACGTGTATTTAATCAAGTTTCTGTTGCTAGGAATGAGCCCTACAGAGAGATGGAAAAAGTCTTACACAACATGATACAAGGGTGTGTACTACAGCAGTCTCTGTAGTAGAGAAAAGTGAGAAACAGGCGGCGGATACCCAGTCAATGAAAAAACAGCTGTGAGGCTTCCAAAAAGGGCCCTGGGCTGGGGCTGGGGCTGGGATCACCCGGAAGTGTGAGCTGAAACTGGGCAGGGGTCTGGGTTCGATCCCTGGTACCAGACAAAGATAGAGAATGATCTACGGGGCTCCAGAGGGGCTCCATTTCCATTATGGAAAAAAGTATAGTACATGTAACACACACACACACACACACACACACACAAGTACATCAGCAATGGTCAACACAGAGTTGACACTGATTACCGTTGAAGAGCGAAAATGTGGGGAAAAACTCACGCATTTAAACATTAACCCTGAACTTATGATCACATTTCCCCATCACACAAATATATTATTTCTTTTTTCATACTATGGTTTGAACCCAGGGCTTTGTACATGCTGGGCAAGTACTCTAGCATTAAGCTATAGCCCCAGCCCTTAAAAATTTTTTTTTTAAAACTTGAGACAGGGCCTCAGTAAATTACCTGGTCTGGTCTTGAACTTGTGTTCCTCTCGACTTGGCCTCCTGAGTTAGGATTACAGATTTGCTTCTGGTTTTTAAATACTTTTCTGTATTAAGAATCCCTAGTTGGATCCTGAAGGCACTGTGCTAAATGAGATACGCCAATCACAAAAGGCCAGATGTTGTCTGATTTCACTTACAGGAAATACCTGGAGTGGTCAAAATCATAGACGGAAAGGAGACTGGTGGCTATGAGGGGCTGGGGGAAGAGGCAGTGGGAGTCACTGTTCGGAGACAGGAAATGGCTGAACATCAGTGAATGGACTTGATGTCACTAAACTGCACACTTAAAATGATTAAATTTAAACGATGAAGATGGTAAATGTTACATATATTTCATGTAAAAATTTGAAAAACTTATGTTGAAAAAAGCCTAGTATTATTAAGGACGATATATGGAAAAGGGACAAGTATTTAAAAAATTAAGCCAAAAAGAATCAAAAGTGTTAAACCTTTTCATTTATTTGGGTCAGAGAACCCTTGACATTTTTTTTAAAGCACCTTTAAGCGAATAATTAAAAAAAGTGTAGTGGGCAATAAAACAACATTGAACATGAAAGCGTTTCCTTACTAGCTGAGCTACTCATGGCAGAAATAACCTGTGCTCTTCCTCCGAAGGTGAAACACAGGCCAGGGCTCCAGCTTGGCGGGAGTGCGGTTGTCCACCAGGCCTGAGGCCCTGAATCTCAACCCCATCAGCAAAAAACTCACAACAACAACAACAAAACAGAAGCCAGAAAACAAAAAACCAAGGATCGCGCTACCCAGCCATTCTACTCGCAGACAGAGATCCAAGGAAGATGAAAACACAGGTGCACCTGGGAAGTGTGTGCAGGTGTTTGGGAAGCAGGAGGCAGAGCCTGGAGGTCGTCAGCGGCTGCAGGGACCAGCGCAGGGCGGCCCTGCGAACGCGAGAGAGCGAGAGGGCCATGGACAGCGGGAGGCTGCTGCGCGGGGCCTCCCAGAGGAGACGCCAAGTGAAAGAAGCCCGCTAAGGCCCATGCTGTGCGGTTCCGCTGATGCGAAACGTCCAGCCAGAGGGAGATGAAGGAGGCTCTGGCCAAATGCGGGAGGAAATCAGTGACCAGGAATGCGGACAGGGCTGATTTTGGGGGCAAGGAAATGTTTTAAAGTGAGGCAGTGTTTGTACAGCTCTGTTAAGATACTAAAAAACACCGGATTTTATCCTATTTTAATACTTTGCTGTGCGGTTCCGCTGATGCGAAACGTCCAGCCAGAGGGAGATGAAGGAGGCTCTGGCCAAATGCGGGAGGAAATCAGTGACCAGGAATGCGGACAGGGCTGATTTTGGGGGCAAGGAAATGTTTTAAAGTGAGGCAGTGTTTGTACAGCTCTGTTAAGATACTAAAAAACACCGGATTTTATCCTATTTTAATACTTAAATAATTATAATAATTTTTAATAATTTCAATTATTACATTAGAGTTATGGTAATTTTTCTTTTAACAAGTCTCTGCATATTAATTATGCAGACTAAAGATAGTGTGGAATATGAGTTATATTTCCATAGGGCAGTTACATTTTTTTTAAAAATCTGGGGGTTGACTGACTAAAAATAAATACAACACTTCTTGTTGTGGGCCCATCCTAATCAGGATCCTCATTTTCCACGGCTCACACTGCAACAAAGACACTGAGAAAGGAAGCTATCAACAAGGGTTGTGGGCGAAGGCGGAGACCTAGGCTGGTGCCCTGCTGGAGGTGCAGCCCCAGTCTCCTGAGGGTGCATTGAGGCCCAGACGGGGCACGGAGGGCCGGGAGGCAAAGGAAAACCGCCAAGCACTGCTGTACATTGTCCTTCTAACGCAGGAAACTGGTTCTGCCCCTCAAACACCTTTTTTTTTAATCTGTTTTGCCTTAACACTCCTATTTCACCTCCAGAAATCTACTCTAAGGGAAAAACTCATGAGTGTGAGAAAAATCTTGGCTACTGGAAAGGGGGCTGTTACATAAAGTACTGCGGCTTCAGATGTGGAATAGTACTGTCCAGTAACTAGGACTGATGTTTAGAAAATATGAAGCAATATGCGCAGCGTGGTAGTTTGTTTTTTGTTTTGTTTCTGGTACCAGGGATTGAACTCAAGACCTTGCACTCGCCAGGCAGGTGCGGCACCACTGAGCTACATCCCCGGCCCTACAATGTTGGTTTTTATCATTTATACGTCAGGAATCTGTTTTTTATCCATATGTAGAAAGATAAATTCAGTATACACTATTAGATTATTACTACCACGTCGGGATTTTCCCTTTATCTGTATTTTCTGAAGTTTCCGTAAAAAGATGTTACTTGTTAAAGATTGCTAGTCGTAAGAAACGAGTCCACTGCGGTCAGGGTCTAGAGCTCCACTCCGTAGCGAGTCAGGCAGCTTCGGCCCAAAATCTGTTTCCCCAGCCGGGTTCTCTCTCTCCCATTCTCGCCTGCAAAGCAGCCGCCAACATGGCCGCTGGCGCCCCCTGTGGGCGCCAACAGGAAACACATCCTCACAGACCGCAGCCCCGGGGCGTTAGAATTCCTGGACCCAGGGTGGGCATGAGGTGAGAGCTAAGACTGAAATCCTTAGCAAGTGAGGCTGCTGTAGCTGTACTTAAAGAGCATGCACTGAGTGAATGAATGAAATGTGATCTCAGCAAGCCACTGCGGTAAGCCCACTGCGGTAAGCCCACTGCGGTAAGCCCTCATAAACAGGCCCACAGTGCAACTGAAATGTCATTGTGAACGCAGTCTGCACCTTCTGAAAGTTTCCAAAGCCAGGGCTAGACACTGGGCAGCAGCTACCTGACTTGGAAGCTGCGGGGATCACGCCTGTGCTGGGTCCTGGAGGTGAGTGTTGGGTTTGATAGTAAGGGTAACTGGAGCCAGGCAAGCCCAGGTCCAATCAACCCATGCCACTCAGAAACGGTACCCTCAGAGAGGTCAGGTCATCCCTCTTCAGTACAACAGGGAACACAAGAAGTACAGAATAGGTACACACGCGGTATTACAGAGCAGGCACTTTGATCACTGGGAGTGTGGTTTTGTGCTTAGGTTGGACAGAAGGATTTTTCTAGCTCAGGTGCAGCTGCAATATACCCTGGGTCTGCTGGTGAGCTGGGAACAGTCCTGTCATACGCCAGTGAGAGAAACACTCCTGGCTCTAAGAGCCCCAAGGCCAACGTTGTGGCCACAGCCTAAAGCTGCCTGCTCACGTCTGAAATCCCAAACAAGCCAGTTTTGGAGTTAGCTCCTTACAGCCTACTTTGGGTACAATCAATATTGTGGTCTCTGAACTTTTCAACCCACCAATTATAAAATGAGGGGGCTGGGTTCACAGTCTGTGGTGTCTGTACCCCAACAGAGTTCCAAATGCGGAGCTTTTAGGGGTGGTATGGGGCAGCCAGGCAGCAGCGATGGGAGACCAGGCCTGGGCCAAGCCAGTAGATGCTGGGAAATGGATCTGGGACGGCCTGGCCCTCACGAGAAGCCCTGTCCAGATCAAGCCCCCCAGCCTAAGAAGCAGAGCAGCCCAGGGGCCCCGGAGAGCCCCGTCCCGTGATCATGGCACAGGACGGGCACCAAGCATAACAGCCCTCGGGGAACTTGCCTCTCAGGCTTCCCCCAGACCGCACTCCCAGGCCTTCCTTCCATTTCACAGACCACAAACAGAGGCCTCGGCACCCAGCCCTCTTCCCAGGGAGGTCCCAGACGGGCTCCCTCCTCTGGGTCTCAGCTCTGCCTGGGCCACTGATTCATGTGTGACTTTCAGAAACCATTCACCTGGCAATCTCCCCCTGTGACCTGAGAGTCCGACCTGGATGACCTGGAATCTCTTCCGGTTCTGATGATCTTAATATTCACACAGGAAATGCCAGCAAGACCAGCACTGGATTTCCAATTCTCACTCCGAAAGTCTTCAGTCTCTTCTAAGGGTGGAGGTTGAGGGCCCAGAGTCCTAGCCTCCGCCCACCCTGCCAGCCACGTGCCTGCCAGGGTCCACCCCAGCCCTGGATGGCCGGGGCCAGTGTCTCACCTGGGCATCTTCCCCGGCCTGGTCCCGGTCTTCTCCTCCCTCCTCACGGTTTCCCTGAAGCCGGACCAGGAAGAAAAGTCAGGCCCAAACACCTGCCCATTCCTGCCCCTCAGCACCACAGATCCCGTCCATCCCTCACCTCCCAAACCCCTTTCTTTGGAACAATAACCCTGCCTTCTGGGTGGAGGCACCCAGGTCCTCAGTGCTGTGAGGGAGGGTCTCGCCTGGGTACTGGGAATTCACAGGACAGTGGAGGAAGCCCTGGGGACAGCGCACAGTGGGTCCCCCGTGTGGCTCTGCCTGCGTGCTGGGGGCCGGACACCAAGGAAGGGTACGGAGCCAGTTGGAAAGGTGAGCAATAGGCAAGGTGGTGCGACTCTGAGAAGACAGTCAGGGAGACCCTCTCCTGCGCTCAGCAAGCCTCCTCTCCTCCCTGCCTTGGCTGGCAGTGAAGTCACTCACCGTGGCCAGAGAAATGAGGATCCTCTTAAAGTGGCCAGATGTGTCTGAGCTCAGCGCATCCTCCAGGGATTTGTGATAATCTGAGACAGAGAGGAAGCGTGGGATCCACCGGCCAAGATGACTTGGTGGCGAGGTCCCGAAAGCTCAGACGGAGCCGGAGCAGTGTTGGGGGAGAGGTAGGGACGAAGGAATCTGCAGGGGCCCCTGGGGCACCAAGCCACGCTGTTGCTTTTGTCAGACAGCAATCCAGGCCCTGCTCAGCGCCCCTGCTCTGTCCTGGTGGCCGGCGTGTCGCCTCTCCTGGCTGAAGTCCTCTCCTCTCTGCCTTTGCTCTTCTACCTGCCCTCCTGTCCCGCAGATGCTGGACCTCAAGCACAGCTCTGACCACGCACCCCTGCTCAGAAATCCCACCACCTTTGCTGCTTGTCAGAGAGGAGCAGTTCTGCCCAGCATTCACAGTTCTTCCGAATGCAAACACGAAGCCACTTGTTCCAACATTTCGAGGCAGTGATGGCCCAGAATGCAAGCAGGCAGGAGGTGCTTCTCAGTGTGGATCCACCCCGGAAGTGCCCTCCCTGCCTCAGTGGCCTGGGATGCGGCCCTCCCCACGCCACTCAGGCTCTGCCACCAGGACCGGGTCCTCCTGGGACACCTTTCCCAACATGGGCTGGGCACACCCAAGGGGCTTGGCAACACCTCTCGGACCCAGAGAGAGGAGCCAGGCTGGAGCTGGGCTACCAGCCACGCGGGAGGGGCCTACTCACCCTCCTTGTAGGCCTCACTGATGGCCTGGATTTCAGCATTGGTCCGAGTGGCCAGGATTTCAATGAGGGCCTTTTCATCTGTGCCCGCTCCCTAGAGCGTCCAGACAGAGGATCTCGGCCACGGTCCTGACACCGTATCCCCTCAGCACCGGCAGAGGTGGGCCCGCCCCTGGGGTGCTCACACCATACCTCCATGGCCTTCTTCAGCTGCTTGGCGTCGTAATGGGCTGGTGGCATCATGAGCCCCAGAATCAGCCTCGCCAGGTCTCCCGAGACCTCAGACTTCAGGTCAGCCATCAGGTCCTGCGTGAAGGACAGAGTCAAGTCACGGGAGCCTGGCGCTGCCAGAGGACGGGGCTCTGTGTGTCCGCCTTCGCTGATGTTGGACTTAGGGAACAGCCACATCCCGACGCTGGCCCGCCTGAGCCTCCCACAAGCAGTGGGAGGGCAGAGGCACCGAGAGGCCGGGAGGCCTAGCGTCCAGGCTGTGGGTGTCGCTGGGGGAGGCCCACGGGTGTGGGCCAGGCTGGGGCTCACCCGGCCAAAGTGGGACTTGAAGGTCTGGCGGATCTGCTGACGCTGGGCGTTGCTGCGATGCGTGATGATATCGATGATGGTGTCCTCGTCAGTTCCTGAGTGGCAAAGCCACACGCCTCAGGGGAAGGCCTGAGACGAGGCTTCCTCCCGCGTCCCGCTGACGCCCCCACCAGTCTGTCAGGTGGAGGCCTGGCTCCTGAGCCCCTGCAGCTGGCACCCGTGCCTATGCCAAGCCCCTGCCCGCCCTGGATTCTGCCCTGCTTCCTTCTGCCGTGTCACTGATCGGGGGCAGGCAGCACTGGGTGGGAGTCAGCGCTCCGGGTTCTGGTCTTGGCTCACACTGATGCCACCCACAGCGGATCTGGAAGAGTGTATCTTTCAAAGCATTTTTACTTCTGTCACCTCACAGACCTAGAAGTGCTTGGAAGGTGTTCTTATTCCCACGACCCAGGAGGTGTGGGACTTATCCTAAGGCCCTGGGAGTCACTTCTAAACAGGCAGGAGAAAAGGCACAGGGAACAAACCCTAGCCATCTGTCCCCAGTCTGGCTTCTGGGCGCAGCCTCTGGGAGCAGGGTGAGGACCCCCCAAGCCACTCAACCAGCCCTGGCAACCGGCGGCAGGCCCACCTGAGGAGCTGACCAGCAGGGGGCGCTCTACCCCAACGTGGAGGCGCTTGGGTTATGGAGCCAGAGGGGCCTTGCTTTACAAATGGGGAAACTAAGGCCCTGAGCAGCTGAAAGACTTGCTCAAAGTTACACAATGAATCAACGGCAAAGCCAGGGCATGAATCCAGGTTTTAGAACCTACAACTTTCTTCCACATCAGGATACTGCACCAATGGCCTGCGGGACACCTTGGTTTCCAGGAAAGATTCCTGCCAAGTTCTCCTCAAGCCCTCTTAGCTCCTGCTTCCTTCATGGACGGTGCAGGAAGTGCCCCCGGAGGGCAGGTCTCCAGATAGTAGGCCCTGGTTGGAGGCCATATCCTGTCCCTTCACTCAACCCACTGTCAAACTCCTGGACCCACCGCCCAGAAGCTGCCGGCCCCGGGCCCTTACCAAGACCCTTCATGGCTTTCCGCAGGGCTTTGGCATCTGCGTCAGGGTTGAAGTCGCTGGTGGGGCGCACGGTTCCCTTCATCTGAGAGAAGCGGTAGGAGTATCAGTGGGTGTCTGGGGGCTCCAGGCTGAGGGAGGAGCATGCGAAGTGGGGGGAACTTTCCTCACAAGCCCCAAACAAAGCGGCTTGGGGGAAGAGGCTGGGGTAAGCCACAGCAGACAGACCCTGCACCAGAGAGAGTGGGAAAGAGAGACAGGAAAAGGGAAAGACAGACAGCACCCCAGACCCGGAGCAGGGAAGTGCTGGTCAAGGAGCCGCTGCTTCCGGACTGAGCTCGCCCAGCTCCCATGGCTGCTCATGCCACTGGGGTCCCCAGTCCTCCAGAACCCCAGCCTGGCCTGGGCTCTGCGGCCTACAGGGTCCACTGTCCCTGAGGAGGCCCTGAGTTGTTCCGGGACATGAGAACGGTCTCCCCAGGTTTGGTCACTCTGCTTTCCGTATTTGTACACACCCTGCGCTACTTTTTAATATTTGTACCTAATTTTTAATATTTGTACCTAACAGTCTTGTTTTTTTGGGCCCGGGCATCAGACTCAGGGCCCAGCACATGCTAAGCACATGCTGTGCTGCTGAGCTACACCCCAACCCAGCACACCCACTGAGAGGTGCAGTTACACACTCCCAAAGGGCAGATGTGTGTCTGGTTCATCCTTTAATGCGTCCTCTTGTACCCACAGTAATGCCTGGTACACAGTGGGCGCTCAAAAATCCAAAGCGAAAGCAACCCTTGTTTAACGAACTGATGATGAAAACAGTTTTGTATTGCTGTTGTGAATTAGAATATCAGTAGAATCACTCATGGACACCAATGCAACAAAAACAAAAGTATCACCCAATTTAACAAGATGTCATTGCATGGCACAGGTTCTGAGTACAAAGCGGCCCCAGGCACTGAAAGGAGACTTGGAACACACCACAGAGGGCGAGGACACTGAGGAGCTGCCTCACTCCGTGAAACACAGATTATTTAATGCCTGCAGGTCCTCCTCTGCTAGAGTAAGCTCTTTCTCACACAATGAAGATCACCTGGCAGGATCGTGTGTGTGTGAGTGTACTGTTCTACCACTGAGCTACACCCTGGGCCCTTTTTCTTTATTATTTTATTTTGAGACAGGGTCTTGCTAAATTGCCCAGGCTGCCTGGGAACTTGTAGTCCTTCTGTCCCAGCTTTCAAACCAGCTGGGATTACAGGTGTACTCTGTTGCATACAACTTGCAACGACAGTTTGTGCCTTACAAGTATATTATTATCATTGTTATTATTACTTTTGCTGTACTAGGAATTGAACCCAAGGCCTTTATACTGAGCTAAAGCCCCAGCCCCTTTTTTGTATCAGGATCTCACTAACTGGGCTCAAACTTGCAATCCTCCTGCTTCAGCCTCCCAGAGTGCTGGGGTTACAGGCTGCACCACCATGCCCAGTTCTCCTTACACCTGGGGTGTACTCTCCTAGAACATCAGAGCTCCAGTCCTTGGGGCGCCAGGGCCATCATTAGGGACAGAGGACACAGAGGCCAGGCTGCCCATGGGAGCAGCGTAACAGAGCGTCTGGAGTCCAGGCTTTCTGGGGCAGCGAAGTGCAGTCCGGGAGCTGCCCGCCTGCCGTGGGCTTTAGCGGGACCACTGTGGGGTACCCTGTGGACCCCGGGCCTGGGGATGCCGGGAGCACAGCCCTGCCTTCTCCTGGCGCCCGCACCACCTGTGTGGCCACACTGTCGGGCACAGGACTGGGCGGCCGCCCACGGGACCAGCCGGTCCAGTCGTTAGTAGGAAGCGGACAAAACACTGC